GAAGTTTTATATTGATTACCTTTTGACTGTTAAAAGTTAGTATTTTGTTGGGTCCAATAGAATTTGATTGACTTGAACCGAACTTGGTTATTTTCCAAGGACAGTTTGTTACCTTTATAATTTTAATTATTTCAATGAGCATGAACTATTAATTATAATAACTTTACATGTAGTCTTATTTGGTTCTTGATTATTCTGTCGATTGTTGATTCTTGATGAGGTTTGTTACTAATTATGTTTCATTGTTAAAGTTGAGTCACCTGCAAGTAATTAGTTATTCTCTCTCTGAACTAAAATCTTATTTTTTAAACTGTTGCTATTTATATATATTTTTTTCTTTTAAATTATTTATTGAACAATATTTTGAAGTATTTTTATAAAAGTTTAATTTATATTACTTTATTTGACTTAACGTAATGAATTCCAAAATAACAAAATCATGTCATTTTTTATTCTATGTATAAGGTCTGGAATGTAATTAATTCAAATGGTTTGGAAGTGGTTTGTAATACTACTGGCTTTACTTATACTGTGTTGGCAAATCACTTAAATAAAAAAATCAAATAAAGTTTTACAATAAAACTGATTTGTTACAAGAATTCCCTAGTTAAATTTAATTATACATCCCTTCATTGCAATTATTAAAAATATTGTAGTAACACTGAACATTCCCTGATCAGTGTTTTTGTTTATTTATAGATGTCTACTAGAGCAGATTGTGTAACTTATTCTTTGGTACCTTTCAATATAGGCTGTATTCCCTGTTTTTGAGACTAGGAATAGGGACAACTGACATCTTTCTTCAAGTATTGTAACAACTCAATACAGGGTGTCTTTGGTTTCTATTTTGTGATTTAATAATTAGTTACGGTACGTAATAATTAGTTACACAAAAAGAAAAGACAAAAATTGTTTATGATTACGTACTGTCTTTTTGTCAAAATTATTTTTAGTAGTACTGTTGTAGTTGAAAATGTTTATTTTTTAATAAGCTGCTTTATTTTTCTGCTTTTTTGTAACGGGATATGAGCCCAAAACTGTAAAAATTATTGTTTGTATACAAATTTTATATACCGTGTATATAAACTGAAGGACAGTTTCCCAAAGTTTCACGGTAATGCATTGGAGGGTTAATGCATAATGCAATACAAACATTTAATTTCAATACGTATAAAAAAAACACATGGGTAGCCTATATATACCAAAATATAAGGGTACCTATAATAACTTAAACAACTTTTTTTCATTACACTGAAATCACAATTAATTGGTCTACTGCAGCAAAAAATAACTGTATAATACATGTGTAAGAAATATTAACACGAAATATTAGTTTAAGCTCCATTCTAAATGCGGCTTCATACTATTTATTTCACTACAATAAGTAATTGTTCCCCTTTATTTGTATTTACACAAAGAGAAACATACCTCAGTAATTTGATTTGTGTATTGCATTGGTGGAGTAATACAACCTGTTCTTCAAATATATTTTTGCTCTGTTTGCAAAAAAAGATCAAAGATACTTACTTTGGAAACCAATCTATGAAGAAAAACAAGGTAGATTTTTTTATGAATTAAAGGAGGCTAGAGGTATGGCAGAAGACATTGTTCATAACACGGGCCCAAAGTGTATTGTAGACTCTCGCTCATTGGGCCATCAGCTTTTCCTTGGTCATAAAATTTGAGTTGATTTTTGAAAAGTATCACAAGGGCCTAGTGATAAATAAACTATTACAAAAGGTTTACAATATATATTACGTACTGTCTTTTTGTCAAAATGATTTTTTAGTTAGTACTGTAGTTGAAAATGTTTATTTTTTAATAAGCTGCTTTATTTTTCTGCTTTTTAGTAACGGGATATGAGCCCAAAACTGTAAGGTATATTCTGATAGAAATTGATGGGGAGAGCACTAAATTAACTACAAGTATTGCAAAGGCGTTAACTTAAGAATAAGAGTTATTTGATCCCCATAATAGATTTGAATTTTTTATTTTAATTGCAAACAGCCCCAACACTACAGACCATCTTAGTTTATTATGTTGATTGATCATTTTTTCCTAATATTTTATGTATAAAAAATTCTTTACGAAGTACCGTAGTAGGGTTTGAGTAATTGAAATTAGGTTATTTTATTTCTAGCCTGTTTTGTTTCTAACATTTTAAAACTTTAGGTTGTAGCTGTGAAATGTCTAGTCTATTGTTTCTCTGGTACTCTTAGTTTTAATTTATTTGAAAAGTATGATTTTTTTGGAAACTATGAATTTTTTTCTCACACTAATTAATTTTAAGATTTGTTTTGTTGCCACTTGTTGAAATGGTAGTGTAAATTTGTTACTATGAGAGTTGATGTGACGTGAGTTGCTTTTTATCAGTTTATAAAGTTTGGATATTTGACTAAAAGCAGTATTTGACACCAGCTCACTTTATCTGTGGCTCAATTCAACATTTATTTTCATTTTAAAATTGGCTACAACATAAACATGATAATGGTATAAAAAAAAAAATCTCCTTTTGCTTGAACATTTTTTAGGACAAGAGACAATTTTATTTCATTAAATTAACTTGTTTTTAAATACTTTTTTTGTCTTTCTTATAAATGATCACAATAATGATAAAGCAGCATAGTTTTCAACAGTTTCTGAAACAATGTTAGATTTGTTTAAAGTCGTACTGTAAGAAGGCACTTCTGTTTTTGACACTGTATATATCATAAGTAGAAATGTTAGCACTGTGGGTAGCCTGTTGTGTGTATAAAGCTATTAATACATTTGTAAATAATATAACAAGCTGTTGTTATTATGCTATGAGAATTTCATTGGTCACCCTTGAATACCTGTACTGATAGTGGTAATATTGTATATTCAGTGATTGTTGCAAAACCGATTGTTTATGGCAAATCAGAATCAACATTTTTTATTATAAAAAATTTCATTTTCCTTAAAGTATGTTTTTGCCTGGTTTTTCTCAAGTGTTGATGTGTTACAAAACATTGGAATATATCACTGTTACTGACACCATTTTCAACTATGGAAGAGTGAGTTTTCTCCAGGTCCTATATGGTCCTGGAGAAAACTTTATCCCCCTTTGTTAAATACTGTCAGTGACAGTGAGATATTCTAATATTTTGTGTCTCTTGTGCCAGTTTGGACTCTTTTCCACTCAGCTAAGCCTGCTGATCCTTCCAAAAATTTCTAAAAACCTTGGCCCTTGTGCTTTACAGTAGACTCCCTCTAATATTTCCAGTTAAACCGACGTCCCCAAAATCTCGTTAAAACGGATCGTTTAAATGCATACTCTATACAGTATTTGACTGAAATTAGAAGAGCATTGTATCTAGACACGTAATCACTGGTCTCAAATCTTTCCCGCGAAAACAGTCGTTTCAGTACCGCCCACTTCCTGCCGATCTAGTCCGGTTAAACCGATGTGCTGATAAAAATTATCCGGATAAAGAGTTGTCACTTCTACCGAGTGTTGTCCGGTTAAAAGGTGTCCGGATAAGAGGGAGTCTACTGTATGTTTAATCCTTAACTTGTATAAATAATGGGTCTCTATTGACCTAGATTTTAGTTGGTGATAAAATTATACTGAGTACTGATTAAATTTTGAGAAATAAAGGTATCCATAATTATCTTTCAATATTTTACATCAGAACATTAGCGTTCACATTATTGTCTATTGTTTATTGTCACCCTAACTACATTGCTGATTTTTATCTGCTTTTCCCTGCCAATTATTCATAACACCTACCGATAATGCTTTTTTAAGTTTCTAAAAATAACGTATTGTAATATGCCAGACTTCTTTATGTATTTTTCAATCTAAAAAATAATAGTTGTGACAAATAAATAAAAGGTTAAAATACCTGCTTGTCGCCTTGTGGTCCAAAGTATTGTCCTAGTGGATTATGTACATTTCGGCGCGAGCGCCATCGTCTGATCCGTATAAGAACTGTTTACACTAAACTTCCCTGAAGAGGTGCGTAAAATATTCACAACACAAAACACACATAAAAACCGGTCGACCATTAATTAACATTTTTTAACTTTGCTACGCGTACACGGGCAGGATATGGAGGCGCGCCAGACGTGTGTCGAGACTCGACTGAAGACGGTAGTTGGTCGTGATCTGACCTTTGTCCTGGTGACGTAGCTAGTGCAGCATTGTTTCGGCTATTATTCATTTGTATTAAGGTTTCAAAAAGAATGTTGGATTGCAGGGTGTTTTTGTCGTTTAACAGGTTGTTTCAATTTTAGAGGCTCTGTAAATTTCGAACTGTTCCAATGCCGTCATTGTTCGGCCTTTTTGGCAAATATGTAAAGGCTGCAAATTTGTTGTTATATCAGTATAACTATGGTTACTGGCTACCAAATGGTCGGCGAAATTTGATTTTTGAACGATGGTTTTCTTGGGAAGATGTTCTTTAAACCTCTTTACAAAGGGCCTTCCAGTTTGGTCAATGTAAAACTTATCACAGTCATTACAGGTTATTTTATAAACTCCTGTTTTTTGACAAAAATCCTGTGGTGTATTTTTTACGGAAAGGAGATTTTGGAGTTTGTTAGATGTTTTGAAGGCTACAATTTTGCCATGCTTTTTCATCTGGTTTTTCAGTGTATGGGAGAGGTTCGGTCAATTGGTCCGGAAACACCACAGCAAAATATGAAGATAATAGTTGTGAGCCTAACTTGTGAAAGACTTGTTCATTTAAAAGCTACAAAGATGTCAACACAACTTTTACTAAGCAATAAACTTATTGCTAAAATACTTTTTTTATACACAAAACAATTTACTAAGCATTGAAGAGGAGGGCTGACAGATCAAGACCATCATCTAGATTTCCCGATCTAGCATTTGATTTATAAGTTATTTCTCAAACTATCTGGACCAGTTTGTCTGGTTTACGCCATTTGTCTCTTTTTGGCTATGATTTTATACAACTCAATCCCGGTCCTCTAATAAAGTCAGGATTAGGATCTGAAATCAAACTGCAAACAAATAATTTACAAAATGTACATAACTTTAATTTTTTATTTTATTTTTTGTTTTACTTTTTATTCTGTTCACGAGCAGTGAAAGTTCTGTTTCTGCCTTTGTTTTCTTTCCAGCTGGCTCTTCCTGAAATAAAAAAATCAGTTATGTGTTCTGATCTTAATTAAGTTTGTTTTAAAATGTCTTAGTTAAATGTTTAAGGTACCCATTGTTGTGGTTTGCCCCTGAGATGGCAAGATAAATATTGATAGTGTATTAGTTACCTTTTATTTTCGTCCCAGCTCAAAAAAGTTGTATAATATTTCAACCATGGTTTCAACGAGTTGGGTCATGAAGTTGAAACGATGGCTGTTGATACTATACAACTATTTTGAGCTGGGAGAAAAATTAAAGGTAATTAAACCACTATAAATAAATGTCTTAAGTATGAATTGAAATAAGTACTGGTAACCTTAAAATAGTTCAAATAAACAAAAAAAGCCGTAAACAAAAAACCACACTTGGGCAAAGGAGTAATTGAACTGTGCCGTATAAGTCTCTCCTTAATCAGCCATAATGAAGCCAAAACTAGGTTGGAACAAACTATTTCAGTCAACACACTACACTATATAAGTTGTATTAACAATTACAAGTATTAAAGTTTTAGGTTATATACCTCGCTTAGAACCTAACCATAATGGTAGTATCTAAAATAACATTTTCACATAAAAAAAAAAAAAAAAAAAAAACAGTGGTAATTAGGTGTAATTAACAGAAAAGATAAGTTTCAGACTATTTCAAAAATATTTTAAAACCCCCACTGATTTGGCTATTAGTTGTTACTGATCGCTATTTCTACAACTGTAATCTAAACACAAACTTATTTCTTACTTGTTCAACTTGTTGTCTCCTTCTCTTGAGTTTCTCCGAGATTATAGCCTCCATGGCTTTAGTCTTGCGGAACTGAGGGTCAGCTGGGTCTACATTGAAATGATGAGAGGAGAACAGAGCACTGAATCTGTCGTCTGCTACATTCACCTGAAATTATTTTTTTTATTCTGTGTTCTTGTTACAATGCATAAATCAAACCACTGTTAGATTTATTTCTTAGTTAAACTTTATAGGTAAGGAATGCAGTTGTTGCCTTCTGCCTGTTTTCTGAATGCTACATAAGGAGGCAGCATTCATACTGATGCTACTATACGCTATTTGTAAATAATTTTGTCAGAAACGTTCTAAAAATACCCATAATACCAGAGCACTCTATTATGGGTGTTTTTCATAACACACATAACTGTAATAGAACATACACATTCTTGTATATGCTTGGATTGCACGAAATCAATTCATGAATTTCATTATGAATTGAAGTTCTATGGTATGAATGTAGGAGTGTAATTGAACAGTTATTTTAACTATGAAAACTGAGTTTTATGTTAAATAAATCAAGCATGAAATATACTGTTGGTCAAGTCTCAAATATTATTTATAAATGTTCAAAGATTTTTAAGACGATTTTTGAGTTTTACAACACCGACACACCAGAATTAATATCTAAATATATAAAAGGCAAAGCCCTCACTGACACACTCACTCACTCACTCATCACTAATTCTCCCACTTCCCATTTACCTAGGACGCTGAAATTTGGTACACTGATTCTTTAGGCATTAAATAGGAAAACTAAGCTATTTTTATTCTGATCGGACTCTCGGGCTCCGCCCCAGTGGCTCTGGAGTTTCCCATGTTAACCTTATGAGTACTCATATTTAAATGGAATTAATGAATATTAACAGCTGTTTCAATTAAACAAGTTGGTTCTTTTCTATGATGTGCAATAGCATTTAAGTTACAAGGATTACCAACAGGGTGCAGCACTATTTTTTTAAATTTACGACTACAGCTAATTTGCAACCAAAAGGTGAGTGAGCGTAGCGAACGAGCTAACCTGAAGGCAAGTGAGCGCAGCGAACGAGCTCCAACCAATAGGTGAGTGAGCGTAGCGAACGAACTTCAACCAGGACGTAATTGAGCCATGCGAACGAGCTCACTTATTAAGTAAAACGGGGCAAAGCCCGTGGGTACAGCTAGTTTTAAATAAAAGGTGAGTGAAATTTGAACAGTGATTGTTGAATGAATGAAATGACAGCTTTGTTTGCTACTAACTAATGTAAAAGCCCAACGATTAGGGACAGCTCGGCTCAGCTTTGCACCATCAAACAGATTTTGATTTTTCTCAAGATCTAACTGGCAAATGTCTAAAATTACTAGGTGGTGATCACTATATCCAGTCAGCTTTAAGTAAGAGATTTAAACTTGTTAGTGACTCGTTCAAGGATTAGAGCAGTCTGACCTCATGGCTTTGATTTTAAGACCTCTTACCCATCCTCTGGCACATATGTTGACTGGGGTTTTTATTAATATTAAGTTTGTGGTGATCAATGCTGTGAATACACTCTATGTAATTAAAAAAAATTGCAATGGAAATTTTTTGGGTCTGACGCTGATATTATTTGTCCCAACTCCAGGGCAAAGACCAATGAAAGTTAACAAGGGATCTATGTTAATTAGAACACATAAATTAGTTTTGTTTTAAATCATATCTAGTAATATTATTTAATTTATTCATTTAAAACTAAAATTATGATTAGCAGAGATTTTAGCTCAGCAAGACTTTAAAGTGAACATTTTTGTTCAACAAAGAAAATTGTTCTTAATTTTTACCTTGAACTCATCTTTTTCTTCCAAGACTTCTTGGGGTTTCTTTTTCAGTTGTTTTCTCCTCTTCTTCTTCTTTCCATCACTTTCTTGCTCTTGAATTTTCTTTAAATTGAAATGACTCTTTTCCTTCTCTGTGTCATTCTCTTCCAGAAGCAATAATTCTAACTCAGCCTGAAAACCCACAAATGTTATACCTCATAATATTTTCTCATATTAATGGTAAAATAGGGTCTTCGGGATTTTATCCCCCTGGAATTTTACCCCCTGAGGAAAGCTGACGTAGTAACCTGAGTGCTCTAAAGTTTGTTCGAAGGCAGAATTTTACCCCCGCGAATTTGGGAGTCTAATGAAAATAGACAGAGCGTGATGAATTAGATTAGCAATAAAAACCGGAATTATACCCCCTATAACTAGCGTTTAGGCAACTCTAGATGGACTTTTACCCCGGGATTTTTAAACCCGAATTTTACCCCCTGTGCAAATATAGAAATTAGTGAGATTAATTTATTTCAATTTCATGATTTCAGTTTTTATTGAATGAATAGTAAACATTTTATTTTTTTGTAACCTATCTTAATAAATTTTTATGTAATCTCAACTAGGTAAACAGGTTTTGCTGTTTGATTTTGATCCCTAAAAGAAGAGATTCAGGATTCGACTTTTGGGACCAACTGTTAGATAATATATGTAAACATAATATATGTTAGATAATATATGTATGTAAACAAACTGAGTAACCCATTTAAATTATAAATGGGTTAACATTTCTTAAACTATTTGCTATACGACTGTGGAAAAACAATTTATTTAGAAGAAAATGAATTATTCTCATTAATTTTAATAATGGCCAGAGGGTAAAATTCCGTGGGTAAAAATGTAGGCCATATATTTTGAGCTGACTTCATAAAGGAGGTTAATTAATTCCGCTACCCTGTGAAATACACTTGCTGCAGCACACTTGCTTACTAAGCCAACATCCATTTGCCTTGTGGCTTTTACCAACATATTTCCTTGAACGTGTCAGATATATTCCCTTTGTAAATAACTATTTTTTTCGTGGGGGGGGGGAGCTTTGTGTTACAAAATTCAAGGTAGGTTTGCTGATACAAAGAGGGAAGGTAATGACATATTTTTTAAGTAAAGTTTTAATAGTTTGTTTGTTAGTATGACATAAACTGTTATCCAATCAATTATATATTATGAAGATAGCATGGAGTGTACTGTAACATATGAATACCTCAATAACCGTATTATGTAGAACAATCAGGAAGAGAAAAATTCTCCCAATAGGGAGGGGGGGGGGGGGCAAGGGCACAATTTATTATCCCTCAGGCCCTTAGCGTGTCACATGCAAATTATACATGGTAAAATAGCATAGAAATAATTTTCAAGCAAACCTGTGAAATTAATATACATTTCATACTTTTTTTTGTTTGGTCTCTTCCGTCTCCTCTTCATCGTAATTCTTTTTCTTCTTCTTTCCCCCTTTCTTAGCAGGCTGAATCTCTTCTTTGAAGTAAGGATCATTCATATCCACATCAGAGAGTAAGTCATCATCAGAGTAGAGATCACTCTCGCTATCCTCTTCCTGTAAAAACAATAATAATGACACCTCAGTGTAAAAGAAAATGGTTGAAAATTCTCACTCTTTAAGCCTCAAGGACTTAACACAAACAACCCTTCACAACAGCATCCCACAAAAAAACTGTACCTGATAGCTTTTACAACCTAGGCAGCTAGGCCATTGGGTTTACCAGTCTTGTTAGTTGTAGAGCAGCGGTTCCCAAACTATAGTTCCGGCCCAATAGTGTATGGCACTGGCAAGAGCTGATTGGGTAGGTCACGAAAAGAATAAAATATAAAACGTATTATTTATTCGTACCCAAAAATTATAAAAAAAATCACTCTCTTAACAGTTGAGTGATAATCAGAATGAACTGAGACAAGGTTTGTTAGGTTCTAGGCCAATACACAAAAGCCACATCAAAATGTTAACTATTGCCTGAGTAGTTACCATTTTGATTTGTTTCTCAATAGACCCTTTATATAATAATACCAGCAGAGTGCAGTTATACTCAAGCTTTGTGTTGTCAATGGGGGAGGACACAATTTGATAAAATTTGTTTCTTTAAATTTACGGTATACTATAGCATTACACATCTACCATAGTCATAGTGCTCTACCACTTCACCTAACAATAGAGAAAAATTAATTATTAAAAATTCACAAAATATCACAAATTAAATTATTCATGAAATTAAAAACATAACAACTGTAAACAATCCTACTTTGACAGTTCTTACTGCGTATCACAGCTTTTTGTTGTTGCTCAGTTCAAATTAGTTGTTTTCATAAATGCAAAAAAAAAATAGTGCTGTAGCCTGCTGGTATATCTTATAACTTTTTATTTAATGCTTTTGCATATCATAGAATCAACTTTTGTAGTTGAAACAGCTGACAAAATTCTTTAATTCCCTTTAAATATGAACGAGGTGTTAGCCCGTCCTACATACGGGAGTAGTCAGTTAAAACGGTGTAGGCCTATAATTCAGAACAGCTAGTTTACACGTATAAAGACAAATTTTATTGCAGCCTACAGTAGAAAGAGTAATTATCAATTGAGAAGTGTATAGGCCTAGTCAATGATATCACCTTCCATGGCATACCTACCTCTTCCATAATCAATATCACCACAATACAATTACTCATACTATACACAATTTCCAGTAGGTCTGAATTGAAACTCCCTAATATAAAACGAAAACATCCAATAAAATTCACAGTACACATAACTATAACGTTGGTGTCCTGACATCATTAAACGAATCGTCCACACACATCCTTTACCAGTATGTCAATTTCACAGCATCAATTGCTAAATAAATAAGTGTAAACAAAGAAAAGTAAACACAACAACATATTAGTTTATTTTTTAAACAGCTGAGTCATAAATAATATTCATTTGAACAATTTGGTCACATGTTGAAGGAATTTAAAAAGTAAAAACGCTGGTAATTAATTGTAATTACCAACGTAACGTAAACGTAACGTAACGTAATTAATTTTCTATGTTTATTATCCATTCCGTTATCAGTTCCAATATCCTTGATAATTAAACCACCCTCATTGAATCAATGTACATCGTAATTTCCCATATTCATTTATTTAAACTATAAAATATTCAGCGCCTCCAATAACCACAACTAAACACACGCCAAACAACTTTTTTAGATTTCATAAAAGGACGGTTAGTCTAATTGCAGTATCCTAGGTCAATGATGACGTTGTGTTCAATCTATGTCATTCATTTGTGTATATCTTTGGATAACACCCGTCTGAGGTTGTGGTGGTAATTTAAAATCGTATTCCTGAGGATTCTTGATCTCCATCTTTATGACATCAATATTTCCGGGCCTAATCCAAACAAAGTTCAAGCATTCAAAAACATTGATTGTAAACAAAAAGCTGCCAAGATGAATTAAAACATGTAAAAATTGTGATTTTCCTACCCTTTCCAAAAAAGTTGTGGAGTAAAATAATTTGCATATCTTTTTTTAAACTCGTGTACAGAGCCTCGACTTGTACTCATCAATGGTGTTACTTATCTCGGTGGTCTACTAATCTTACTTATTTCCTATAATCAATGACAAAATAAGAGTAAATAAAATAACCTCATAGTTCCATAGTTTATATTTAACCAGCTGTTAGTTAAAACATATCATATTGCTCTACAACAAATCGAAGATTACAAACATTGCTTTAAAAAATAATTTGAACATCCTAGTATTTTACTATGTATATTAAATTAATCTGTCATCCTCTTACAGAAGAATTGAACGTATCAATGATTAGCATTACACATAGTATAAATAAGTCAACCCTAAGTATGTCTTTACATTTTTATCCAAATGCTGAATTTGTGACACAAAAGTTGAATGTGTACAGCTGTTTTGAAGCAAATTATTTTATACCAAAAGCTAGTTTAGAATCCTAGCGTCGGCTGCTAGACTTTTTAAAAATTAAAACTTAATTTATAAAAAACTGGGACCCTAAACTAAAATTATGGCTTCGACATTCCCTAGTTCTCAAAATTATCTTTCTTTCAACACAAAAATCATGAAAATCCGTCGAGTGGTTGATTCAGAATCGTGAAATAAAAAAACACTGTTTCGTTTTAATATTATAGATACTCATAAGGTTAACATGGGGAACTACAGAGCCACTGGGGCGGAGCCCGAAAGGATTTTTGAGATAAGAATATGCCTATATGTTAACCGGGAATGTGAGCTATCATCATGCCAAATTTCAAGCCAATCCGTCCAGTAGTTAATGTGTGATTGAACTTCAAACAAACAAACAAATAAACAAACAGACAAACTTTTACATTTATAATAATAATATTATTAAATTAAATTAAAATTCTGATATTTAATCTTACTATAAAGTAAGATTCGTAAAATGATAATAATTAAAATAGTAAAAATAAATATTAGTAATATTATACAAAGGGTGGGTTGATTCAATATGATGGTGGGCCGCCCAAACTAAAAGTTTGGTTACCGCTGGTATAGTGTAACCAGGTTCGGTCACGTCAGGTCAGGTGTGCACCTAATGAGGAGTTGATCTATATGTGGCAGAGTTTTGAGTTTGTAAATAAACAAATGCTAGTTCAAATCACCTTGTTCTTTTCTTTCTGTTTCAACTTTTCTTCCCTCTTCTGTTTCTTCTTTTTTTTACGTTTGTCTAGCATTTCTTCAAACGGTGTTTGAGGTGCGTTTAGTTTCTCTTTAACCGACTTCTCCGCTTTTTCTTTCAACCCAATACCCCATGTTATTTCCAAGTCGACATCCCTATTTTTCTTCTTCTCCTCTTCTTCTTCAATTGAAGCCAGCAAAGATTTGTATTTGGCAATTTTGTCTTCCTCTTTTATATTTTTATCGTCCTCTGATTCATCCTCACTAGATTCATCTGTAAATTAAATTTCCAATGTAATTCTAAATCTTATCTAAATGGAAAATTTAAACTATTTCACAAAACGGTTAGGAAGGTTTTTTGCATTAGTTTTGTAGGCTAAATTTTAAATCTCTTTGACATGTTTTTATTGTTGGAAGTGAAATAAAATCCAATGTGTTTATTTGCCATAAAAACATCTTATGTAAAAAAGTCATTGTAAACTCCATACTACATAGAAAATATTTTATTTATTATTTGAGTGCACCCTATAACACATTTTCATATTATAAAGGATATATCAAGCAAACATTGGGCTACGAAGTCTTAACAATCCCTGGTTAACGAGGTTCAATAATCTTCTAAAATGTTTAACAGTTTCGAAACACTAACCCTTGTCTGCTAGTTCTTCGTCCTCTCCAGATGATGAGGCTAGATAGGCTTGCAGGTCAACGTCATCAACCTTGTCCGCGTTCCTCTGAATTTTCCTGGTGAACTCCTGACGGCTTGGGTCAGTCTCGTCCCAGGTCAGTTCCACCTTGCCCTGCTGCAGCGCCGTGTTGGTGAAGATACGAGGCTCATACTTGGCTGGGTCTGGCATACTGGTGCAAACCTCGTGTGGTTCCTGTCGACAACAAAATAAATTGTATCACAGTGTAGGCCCTGTTTGCTGACACATCGGCTTTTTAATTCTTAACTAATAGTTTATAAACCCCCCTTATATTTAAGTCTTGACTAATATAAAATTCTGTGATGGGATTACTTCAAAACTAGATTTTTTTTAGAATAATTATTTGTAGGGTAGTAATTTGACTAGCTGAAATGGCCCTTAAAAACTATGATGACTATGACTAAAAAACTCAGAAAAACTTGATTCCGAGTCCGCTTTCTTGGTTTGGCCAGACAAAAAAACATACATTAAAGTTAGGAAATAATACATTGAACTCTACTTCAAGAATGAGAGGATTTAGACTCACTAGTGTGTTTAGATTTCTCTTGCAATGCCAGTTTTCACAACTGGTTACAATCCAGACAAATCACTTTTAGTCCTGTAAAGATAAGATACCAATACTAGTCCAAGGTAGGGACAAACCTGATCAAACGTTTCATCCTGTGGCACAAATCGAAGATCTAACTTAGTTGCACTACTTTCATATTCAAGTCCATCACACTCTGTGTACACTTTGTTGGCTGTCTCTACGGAATCAAACTCAACAACTGCATAGTAATACTTTAATCTGTTCATCTGATATTGCCGCAGCCTCTCTGTGTGATATTTCTTTCCTTCCTTGCTCTGAAACAAGAAAGAATTGTGATACCTGTAACATTGTGACAAGCTTTAGGAACAAAATATCTAGTTAAATTGCAAAACTTTGGTGTGTTGCTAGCCTAGTGGTTAATGGCTCGGATTTTGGTACGGGAGAAAAGGGGTCAAATCCCAGCACAACTAAAAACAAAAATAGGTATTGGACCACTCTCCCTTAAAAGCGCTTGAAATAATTCTTGAACTTAAATTTAAAATGCCACTAGCGTAAAACATAAAAAACCTAAAAAATTGTTGACCAATTAATATTTTTTTTTTAACTAACATTACTTTTCTTGTGTTTTGATGAATAAATGTGTGATGTTACCTCTTCATCTAGATCTGCGTCATCTTCATGTTTTAAATTTACCAACTCTATCGGCCCTCTTTCCTCCTCTTCTTTCATACGTTCCAGTCCAAATTGTGAAGGGTATATCTATAAAAATAAAATGTTTAGGCCTAGATGATGAAGTAGAAATCTTAATGGACAACCTAGTTGAATGAGACGTTTTACAAAATATGCTGATATAAAAATGCTATACACCATCACTATCTAATGCTTATTTGGATTGTAAACCAAAGACAACACTCAACTCAGCAGATTAAACTCGTCTTTTAAAACTAGATTTAATTAAAATTCAAAATATTATTATTACTAGTGGCCTGTAGGGGCCATAGCCCCTAATTTAGACACAATTGTCTATATGAAGGCAACTCCCCATTTCGCGGTAGTAAGTCAGAAATGTATCTATGAATTTGTCCCTGAATTTTAAAACAGGAAGGCCCATTTCCCTGGAATCTCTTTTTGTGTAGCGGAAAGCGACGTAAAAGCCATTGCACTGTTGTATTGCCTTATGTTTCTTATGAAGTTAGAATCATGTAAAAACATGACTTTAAGTTTGTAATTTAATTGTGGTTGTGGCATGTTAATGAGTCCATAGTGGCAACATGCGTCAAAATGTCCATTTGTGGCCTCCTCTGCGAAGTGAAATGCGCCACAATGCATGCAAGTGCTAAGAGGACCTAGATTGTGAGAAACAACACTCATCTCCTTTTCCAGCGTTCTTCTGAAGGCAGGTTATAAACCAGCTTGTGGATTTTCATATTTAGGCCTTTTACATGACGTTCTCTTTCAGCATTTCTTGTGTTAGTTGAATTCCTGGATACTCTTCCACGTCTTGCAGTTCTTCCCCTACCCAGTCTAGTTACTTCACTCATCATAAAAACGGAAAACCAAAAAATTAAACGAATACATTTCATTTTGAAACATTATTTAACAACATTGATTTTCGGAATAAATGTAAACATTACAAATAAATAAGCAACAGCTGATTAGAATGCAGACGTTTTTCAGTCCCCATGCTTTTCTTATGGTGGATATTTTACGTTACAGTAGACCCCCTCTTAACCGACCTCGTATTAACCGATAATCGGATTATCCGCCTTCGATCGTAAAATAATACAGTTTGTTTTAACCGACCTTGCTTTGAGAGCAGCTCGGTTTAACCGCCGCCTTCTAGGAATCTCGGCATTTCCGCTCCCACGCTGGGCGATGAGAACTGAACCATACGCTTATCTCCACAGGATATGACTAACAATAAGTTATTTTGTGTTGATCACAAAAGATATAGCATAGCCTATTGTCAGTTTGTCATCATCGTTCGAAGCTCGAGCACATCTGATCTGATTTGTTATCTGTGCGGCAAACTTATAACATCATAAACTGCGTTACGATTTTGAGAAATGATTATATTATCGCCGGAGTAAACAAACAATGCAACTTGTAGGGAAGGGGAGTTAACAACTCCAAGGTCAAGATAGTTTTTGTGCTTGAGCCTCCAGTGAGAGGCTATAAATAAACGTCGTGTCTTGTAACAAAATGGACGCTTGTATCTTTAATGTCGACAAAAGGTTCTGTACTGTATTACGATGTGTTTGGAAAGCATCAATTAATACATTACAGTACTAATGATATTAAAATAGGAATTTTATTGACTCTTTCTTAGAAGTATTATAATATATTCCACTGAAAGTAGGCCTATTTGACTTAACCGTGCTTTGTGTTTATTTGTGACGTTTCTATCAATATGAAAAAGGAGATAAGAGTAGTTTATTTGATAAATAATGCAAGTATGATTTCAAAATAATGATTATATAATTCCAAATGAATAGCACTTCATTATGTTATGATTTTAGGGATTGCCCGTTTTATCCGACCTTTTGAGCTATCCGACCTAGGTCCGGTCCCATTAGGGTCGGTTAAGAGGGGGTCTACTGTATATCTCGTTTTCTGGTAACTTTATGGGAATTCTGCTATTTTTCCCGAGTCCCTGGGGTCAATGCCTTTAACTTAAGACCCCTCCCACCTTTCTGCGACTTACCAGACGTCAACAATTTTCTGGTAAAAATTTTGTCTTACAGAATTATATGTAAGGATTTTACATATTTCTTTTTAAATATAAAAAATATTCATAAATATTTCTTAGAATTCTATAGGCCTATATCAATAAGCAAGCATGTTTCTTGAAAACTTGTTTCTCAGCTTGTGTGAATCGCAGGGAAAATCTGTGCGTACTGTTAGAAAGATATTTTCCAGTACAGTGGACTCCCTCTTATCAGGACACCTTTTGACCGGACTAGATCGGCAGGAAGTGGACGGTAATGAAACGACTGTTTTTGTGGGAAAGATTTGAGAACAGTGATTGCGTGTCTAAATACAATGCTCTCCTAATTTTAAGTCAAATACTATATAGAGTACATGCATTTAAACGGTCCGTTTTAATGAGATTTTGGGGACGTCGGTTTAACCGGAAAAACCGTTATCCAGACTGGCCTTGGTCCCGAGGAGTCCGTATAAGAGGGAGTCTACTCTGTATGTGCCCTTTTGTTATATCCTTTAATAAATTAAAATAGGCCTAGGCTCAAAAATAAGCACAAAAATAAAAATGAATTTAATTTTTATTTTTTATTAACATGGAACTTATGGGTTGCAATTCTGGTGATAAAATAACAACAAGACAAACAGAAGAAATTCCAATCATATGTTTTATTTACATCGTGGGGTGGAAATAGAGAAGTCTGTATCCAATAGTCAATGATATTACATATTTTTTGTTGAGTTTTCGACCACTGGACGACCTCTGGTCATTTTTATTTTATTCCTACATTACCTGCAACTGCAACTCAGTTTACCCAATCAGCCTAATTAAATCACAAAATAATTTAAATGTACCACATACCTCACCACAACAGAACAATGAGAAGCCAGCACGTCATGTGATTGCCTTTCCCCAAGATAGCTGATGAAGACACCTGGGTATTGAAATATCCTAATCGCTGGATTCCTTACGTGTTGCCAACTCTAATCCACTTTTACTATGCACAACCGCTTAACTTTTACCAACTTTTTTACAATAAAGCTAGATAAACAACGACCAACTTACAGTAACTGACTTGATGACTCCATTCTGAGGTAGGAAGGAGTTTAACAACACCATAAGGTCTACAGCTCTGATCCTGTCCCAGTCCATGTGTAACACAGCCAAGCGTGAAGTAGCATCTTCGGTCAGCTCAGCATCTCGGTCCAGCTCTCCCCATCCATGCTCCACCTCCGACTCTGACTCAGCTGTTTACATTACACAAACATCGCATATTTTCTCCTGCTGAACCTATATTATTTTGTCCTGGTCTCCCGTTAAGGGACCTCTCTATAAACTTTGAGGTTTTGTAGGTTCCGTTGTTTTCAGTATTTAAAACGGAGATTACAGACTCTAACTATAACTATATGTGTACACACATATTTAATACAACCTTGACAAATTATCTATATATTTAATACGCTAGGCATATTTTTGTCATAATTGTTTTGGAGTGGTGGTGCTACCAATCACCATGTTCAAGGTGTCATTAGAAAGGTCTTAGCATGTAGTTTTGCCATCAAACAAAAAAAAACTTTGGAATTCCATCAGGGCTCTGCCCCAGTGGCCTTCAAAGTTCCCTGTTATTCTTAGGGAGAAAATGTTTGTTTATATTTGAACAGATGAATACTTTGAAATTGACACTAATATTTGAAACAGATGGTTATACTAAAATTTTGCACAAAATCAAAACATAACCAAAAAAACGTTCGACATAATGGAGACTATAAGACGTTGATCAGGACGGCCAATAGAAGGAGGCCGACGCAAATGAAATACAAATAATACTATTGTCGTTGATAACCGAATACAGTAAGCACCCTTCCGTGCTGGGTTTAAGTGTGCTCTCCAAACAGTCGCCAGAAGATTTCACATACAATTTAGGACTGTTGGATAATTGCTGCATAAGCTGTTGATTTTGGAAGACAAGGAGGAGGGTAGGACTAATTTGAAAACAGAAGAGAGGAGATATTAGAAGAGTGGCAAATGCGTTGGGAGCAGAGTATTCTATGTTAACGTTTTAAAGGTAAACGTTCGTATTTATACCTAACATCAGAAAGAGACTGAAACAAGATTGGGAGATGGGCCATTATAAAACACAGTTTGTCAGAGAACATTGAAAATTTCAAGGCGATTTTGTGAAGATTTCACCAGGTGGAAGAGGAAGTTTGTAGATGTGGAGAAATAAAAACCATGAGTCACGTATTTATAAATTGCTCACTTCAGGAGACAAATAGGTGAGAACAGGAATATGTATTGGATAAGATAGGCCTAGAGATGAGAAAATAAACCATGATGAGTGTCAAGGAAGCAATTGAGACGTTTAGAAAAGTAGCTAGGGAAATAGGAAAATACAAAGGATACATACAGGCATTAAAATTTAAAAAAAGAAACAAACAAAAACTAAGAAAGAATAGGTATGAAAACTTGCCCATGAAGGGAGAGGAAAGGTTAGAGCGAATCTCAATGATCCCTACCGCTCAGGGGCGGTATGGGAAGGGAGTCGTGCTGGCTTTTGGACACACAGTGTGTCTGGAAACCCAATGCAGCTATGAGTAAGGCTATTTTGGTAGAAAACACTATTTACAATAAATGTTGATTATATTGATCTATTATGTACATCTTTAGTATTTCCATAATCTTTGAGTTGAATATTTTTAAGTCATCAGAAATTATGACTGTTATTCGTTTTAAAATAACGCCTGTAATACTTAGAAATTGCTCGAATTCGAGCAACAGGAACACTAGTTACTAATAAATTCTTTAAGACACTTGTACTTACATTCAGAGCTCTCTTCCTCAGACGAGCTGTCAGACATAAGAGCTCCAACTCCTCTAGCATAGTCAATATGAGGGTCTCGAAGTTTTAGTTTTATTTCATCTGTCATGCGAGCCTTCTCCAACTTGTCTGTTTCAAGTTCTGCTTCTTGGTTCTTGGATTTGTCCTTATTCTTGTTGTGAGGTTTTTTTTCTACTTCATTTCTATTTTCAGCATCTAAGTTATTTGAGGACTCATTTGAATTACTTGAACCCTGAGCCGGTGACACGCTCCATTTATTTGATTTGTATAGCTTTGTTGTTCTAATTTTTTTCTCATTTTCGGAAGTTATATCATTAATTTGGGATTCTACAGTTTCTTCATTGCTTTTATCTTCATCACTGTCATCCTCCTCATCGGTTGATTCATCATCACTCATAACATCATAATATTTTCTATAATTTTCCTGAGATGACTGATTTACTGGTCTTCCACGTTTATCAACAGAATATTTGACTTGAAAACGCTTGTCGGTAAATAATGATTGAAATCTTTTATCAATTTTTACCTTCCTTATTGACTTTGGAGTAGCCCGAAAACGTGGGTCAGATGAAATATGTGAGAACCTCTCGTCTTTGATTTCTTCCATTGAAATAGTTTATTATCTGTAAGTATAAGTGACATAAGGAATAAAAAAGATATACAGTGGAACATGGGTATTTGTTTACTTTAGGGGCTTCTAACGAATTTTGAAAAAAATAGTTTTATCTCATTATTTGGCCTAATTTGAACACTTTTTACATTTGGCACTTTTGGGGCAAACACCTAATTCACCCTGAAAATCGCGTTTGAAAATTGCCAAAAAGTGCAAAAAAATCGGCGTTTTTTTAACACTTTTAATGTGTTTTACTATTACTTTAGGACATTTTAAACACTTTTCCCAAATGTAATATAATCTAACCTAACTTAACTTAACCTAACCTAACATAACCTAACCTAACCTTGGTTTAACAAAAAATCCGTAATTTTCGGCATAGGCTATTCCTAACCTAAGCATAGGTTAGGTCGTGTTAGGTTAGGCTAGGGTTAGGTTAAGCCACACTATATTATATATTTAGCTTGGTAAATACACTCATCTACAAAACTAAATATAATCTAACCTAACCTAACTCGACCTAACCCATGCTTAGGTAAGCAATTTGCCAAAAATTACGAATTTTTTTAACAAGGTTAAGGTTAAGTTAGGTTAGGTTAGGTAATGTTAGGTTAGGTTAGTTAATGATAGGTTAGGTTATGTTTGGTTAGGTTAGGTTAAGCTAGGTTATGTTACATTAGGTTAGGTTAAGTTAGGTTAGGTTAGGTAATGTTAGGTTAGGTTAGGTAATGTTAGGTTAGGTTATGTTTGGTTTGGTTAGGTTAAGTTAGGTTATGTTTGGTTAAGTTATATTATAGGTAAGTTATTTAGTTAAGCAGAGGAGTGGGCCGGGCATTTTCGGCACTGCAATTTTTTATGATTTTTCAAATCTGATTTTTTTTTTTACGGCAGTGTCCAAAAAAGTGCTAGAGGGTGTTTCAAATGTCCTAAATAATAGTAAAAACACATTAAAAGTATAAAAAAATGAAGATTTTTTCAGTTTTTGTGATTTTCAAACACGATTTTCTGGGTGAAATAGGTGTTTGCCCCAAAAGTGCCAAATGTAAAAAGTGTTCAAAATAGGCCAAATAATGAGATAAAACTATTTTTTTCAAAATTCTTTAGAAGCCCCTAAAGTAAACAAATACCGAATCGGTAAATCAAGGTTCTACTGCATTCTTACTTAGGAAGCTGAATTAAATTGATCATTTATTGAGAAATTAACAAACCTGATTGTACCTAGGGCAATAGTGGAATTTAAGGTTGATATGAATGCAGGATGGGTATAATAAAGAGAGTTTCTTTATGGCTACAGCCATGGACAATTTTACAGCCCGGCTCAGTGGACAAAAGCCGGCTCAAGGCACGGCAAACCCTAGGTCCACATTAACTTATCCACTGACTTTTAACTTAACGTATAGGCCTACTGCGCCAACCCCAGAGCAATAAATAAAAGGGCTGCACTTTACTTTACATCCTACACTAATTTGAATCAAAATATCGATCATTCGATTGTTTCATTCAATATAAGTTATCGTTTGGTTGGTTAGGTTAGATTAACCTTACCTAACTAACCAAACGATATAACTTATCGAGTAATCAATATATCGATCGATATTTTCATTCGAATGAGTGTAGGACGTAAAGTGCAGCCTATAAAAGCTCAATAAATATAATAGGCTAGCCTATCACTAATGACAACTGTAAAGGGCATCCCGACTGAGAAACACAGTAGCCAATGTTTCTAGTCCTACAATAACTTAAATAAATGGGCTAGGCCTATAAGAACTGCACAAGTAGACCTATTTTCATATAGCCTATAACCGAACAATAAGTCAGAATAAGTTATACAGTACCTCTTACCTCTTCAAAATATGTGTAGATTTTTTTCTAGTCTGAACTAATATTTCTTCACTTTTGTCATTCATAAGATAACCACAATGAGGAATCGAATAACTGTAAGCATTTAAGTTTGAATTTCAATCATTCATTCGGTTCCAACCAAAATCCAAATCCAATATTCCATCCACGTTAGGTTAGGTTATGTTATGTTATGGCAGGAACATGGCAAACAAACATAACCTCAAATTATTAACCAAAACAAAGTCTTCTTCTTCTTCTATTCTTTTTTGCTTAAAAAATGGCTTCTTTAAACTTCCATGTGGCCACACTGTTTCAGCTCATAACACTATTAATTATTGTACCATGAATATATTGTCCTGACATTCTTGAAATGTTAAGTTAGGTGCTTGTTGAGTATATATAAAATTAGGTTAATCACTTTTAGTTGGTGTGGTTAGAGGTTTTGCTCGTTGAATGGATTGTTTGAATGAATGATTGGTTGAATGGAAAGTATTTGAAGTCCAAGTTACATATCTTAAAGATTGTTTTCTATTTCTTTTGAAAATTAAATGTGTAAACCCCTGGACCTCAAAATTAATAAATCCAAAACCTTGAATGACAACTTTGCCACCACAAACAAACAACCTGAACTATCAACCGAAGAAGCATTGGATAACATCAACTCATACAACTTTCCTGGGCATAATATATTATAGATCAACACCTGACTTGGAATAATCACCTAGAAAAACTTGGGAAAAAATGATCATCATCACTTTTTGCCATACGGATGCTCTCCATAACAGTCAAAAACACTTAAAAAATAGCTTACTTACGCACTCTTCGAATCTCACTTGCACTTTTGAATAGTAGCCAGGGGACAGCAGCGGATTTATCTACATAATCAAAATTCTTAAGAAAAATGGCGCTAAGAACGTTAAGAATCATAGAAATTCTATAACCACAAGAGCGTTGTAAGCCATACTTCGTCAAAAAAAATCATTACCGTGCCAAACCTTTACATACATCCTTGAAGTTGTAAACCTCCTAAAACTAAACCCCCCCAAGCTTAGGGAAAACGAAGACAAATGTAACTTAAGAAACACAAAAATAAACTTCCGATATCCAACAACACAGATTATGAAAACCAGCAAAATACCCCATATCATGGGTACAAACATTTTAAATGCACTCCCAGAACATATAAAGCGAATGCAATCTCCAAAAACCTTTTTTAAAACACTCAAAGAATATAATAGTCCGAAAACAATTTTACAAATTAGATAAGTTCTTCGAAGAGCACACTGCTCGCCATAAGGATAGGTCCCAAAATGAACCTACATTACACCATACACACCTTAATACCTGCTGCGACGTCGTTGACCAGAATTTCTGGATAGACTGTGTCAAGGATAAACTAAGAATAATATTTACACTATTTACAATAATTTAAGCAAGATGGCGTTGAGCCTATACTCTGTGGAACTATATAGATTAAACATGTGGAACGCATCAAAATATTCGTCAACTGAGTACAATGGTCGGTTGACTAGCCAGGCTTTAAATTTTTCATTTCATTTCATTCATTTCATTTCATTTCATTTTATTTCATTTCATTCATTGTACATCTTCAGAGCCGTAATGCGAAAAAAGCTTTGCGTTTTGGACAGCCTGAGCCTGCAGTAAGGTATGTGGAGCTGGTCTCTGTTACGAAGGTTGTAGGAGTGGTGGAATTCCCTTGTTGCGAGCTGGTGCGTAAGTTATCCCTCACATGACATAGGCCAAGCAGTGCATACTGGCTGAAGATAGTAAGGATGTTTAGGCTTCTAAAGATAGGCTTACAGTAATCACTGTAAATCTTCAATCCAATGATCCGAACTGCCTATTTTGAAGGAAATATCCTTCACACCTTGCAGCGAGTCCCCAAAGCAGGAGTCCATAGGAGAGGTGGGAATAAAACAACCCATGAAAGACAGTGTGGTGCCACTAAACTGTCTAACACAATAACCATGTGTTCTGTATTTACTTTAATCATTTGTTTATTTTTTTGTTATCCTAGCAACCTAGATAACAACAGTTTTTCTGATTTGAATCTAGTGGATTACACTACTTAACTATTCTCTGTAAATTAAATGACCTTTTACTAGAACGATTTGTTTTAGTGCGTCTATCCGCTAGAAATGGTGACCCCGACTAACAAGTAAATTATTTCAAACTAAATTGATGTTTTTCCTACATTAAATTTCAACCTTCTACCAAAACTTCATTTATTTTTCACCTTTCCCCAAATTATCGTTTTACGCCATGGACCAAGAACTTTTGGAGCGCCTAGCTCAATTAGAGAGTGAGAATGCCAACCTACAAAGACAACTTCAAGATTTGAATGGAAGACAAGAACAAAATCACATTTCTGTACATCCTCAAGAAGCCAACCTACCTGATCTTCCACCAGTTCTACCACAGCATCAGCCAGATCATACAGCCCATTCCGACGAACGACATGAAGATCATCACATCCACCGGGTAAGCATAAAACTTCCACCATTCTGGAAAGAGAAACCAAGGCTCTGGTTTGCCCAAGTTGAGGCTCAGTTTACACTGGCTCACATCACGAGCGAAACAACTAAATACTCGTATGTAATTTCACATCTTGATGAGCGCTATGCTAATGAAGTGGAGGATCTTATAATAGATCCACCTGTTGAAACTCCTTACTCTACTCTTAAGTCTGAAATAATCAGACGGTTGTCTCTATCTGAGGAGCAACGCATTCGTCAGCTATTGATGGAGGAGGAACTAGGTGACAAAACTCCTTCTCAGTTCCTACGCCACCTTCGATCACTTGTAGGTTCGACCACAATCCAAGATAGTTTACTGAAAACTATTTGGATGCAGAGACTTCCTGCTCATGTACAGAGTATTTTGCAAGTGCAAACAAGTGCCCAAACTGACACACTTGCAATTACTGCCGACAAAATTCTAGAAGTCCAACCTAACGCATCTTTTTGTCATTCTCTAACTAGTAGGCCTACATCTTTGAATGCCGTTAATTCACCAAATCCTAAATCTTCAATTTCTGATGACTCAAAATTAACTGAAGTTTTATCAAAATTATCTGCTTTGGAGTTGCAAATGAAAAATATGCGTAATGATGTTGATTCCCTACGTAAAAGGCGACCTAGGTCACGTCAGAGGAGTTTGTCAAGTAACCGTTATCACGCAGGTAGCTCCTCTGACACTTTAGAGCAAACCAATCTATGCTGGTACCACAAGCGTTTTGGCTATCAAGCTGAGAAGTGCATTCCACCATGTAATTTCACTTCTCCGACAAACTCCAAAGGCAGCCAGTGATGGCGTCAGCTGACTGCCAAGCTGGAGGGCGCCGCCTACAAATCATCGACCGGACTACCAATACAAAATTTTTAATTGACACTGGATCTGACATATGCTGTCTCCCTAAATCATTTGTTTGTAAGAACCAAAAGCGTATTGAATATGAACTTCGTGCAGCAAACAACTCTGCCATTCACACCTACGGTATGATGACATTAACATTAAACTTAGGGCTGAGACGAGCTTTTACATGGAATTTTGTCATTGCTGATGTTAATACAGCGATTATAGGCTCTGACTTTTTAGCACACTTTGGATTGCTTCCTGACTGTCGTAATCAACGGTTGATTGACAGTGTAACAAACCTTTCTGTTCTTTGTCAATGTACCTCAATCCCTCATTTCAGCATCAAAACTATCACACCCAATTCTTCAACTTCATCAATACTGGCAGAATTTCCCATGATTACCCGACCCTCTGGTACACCAAGAAAAGTGCTCCATTCAACCTTGCATTTCATCAAAACGACCCCTGGCCCCCCAGTTTCATCTCGTCCACGTCGACTCGCTCCTGATCGGCTTGTTATAGCCAAAGCCGAGTTTGATGCCATGCTCACCGATGGTACTGCACGTCGATCTGATGGACCTTGGTCATCACCCCTTCACATGGTCCCTAAGAAACCTGATGGATGGCGCCCCTGTGGAGACTACCGTGCTCTCAACGCTAGGACTATTCCTGACAGATATCCTGTTAGACATATCCACGATTTCACCCATTCTCTCAGAGGTTGCAAATATTTCTCTGTGATCGACCTAGTGAAGGCCTACACACAAATCCCTGTCAACCCTGAAGACATCCCGAAGACAGCCATTACAACCCCCTTTGGATTGTTTGAATTCCCCTTCATGTCCTTTGGCCTCCGCAACGCAGGACAAACTTTTCAGCGTTTCATCGATGAAGTAGTTTTTGGTTTAGACTTCTGCTTTCCTTATATAGATGACGTCTTAGTTTTCTCTAAGGATGAGACTGAACATGAAGCCCATCTACGAACTCTATTCAATCGGTTTTCTGATTATGGCATACTCGTTAACGTAAATAAGACTGTTTTGAAAGCTCCAAAGGTTACCTTCCTAGGATATGAGGTATCATCTGCTGGTACTCGACCACTTCCTGAACGTGTTGAGGCTCTGCAACAATTCACCCGTCCCTCTACTGCAAAAGGTTTGCGTCGTTTTCTCGGCATGTTGAATTTCTACCGCAGATTCATTCCTTCAGCAGCCAAGCAACAAGCAGCTCTCCATGATGCCCTCTCATCTCTACGTAGAAACCAACCTGTAAATTGGACTCCTGAATTGGATGCTGCATTCTTATCCTGCAAAGAACATCTCTCCAATGCTACCTTGCTTGTTCACCCTGACCACAAGGCCCCTCTCGCATTGTTCTGTGATGCCTCGAGTACCCATGTAGGAGCTGCTCTCCAGCAGATGGTTGACAATAAAACATGGGAACCTCTCTCTTTCTTTTCACAGAAACTGACACCAAAACAATCCCTTTGGCCAGCCTATTACCGTGAGCTTTTCGCTATATATGCCGCCATTCGTCACTTTCGTCACTACCTTGAGGCAAATCATTGCATAGTTTTCACAGACCACAAGCCAATAACATTTGCCTTCAGTCAAAAACGTGAAAAACTACCTCCTGTTCAGCAAAACCAACTAACATTCATTTCACAATTCACTACAGACATAAGACATGTTTCTGGATCGGCCAACCTAGTAGCTGACGCATTTTCTCGTGTAGATTCATTGTCAACTACGGCTCCCAGCATTGTAGATGCCAAAACTTTGGCACATCATCAAGACTCTGACCCTGAGCTACAA